CTGAAGCAGCAGGAAGCCCAAGATTACTCAAGGAACATGAGAGCTGCTATAGAACCACCCCCACAAGAGACCAGACAGGAAAGCCTCAGGAATCCTCATAAGCATGAGGATTATTCCTTGTGATTCCTTACTATGGTACTTTTCGGCAGATGACAGAAAGAAAGCCTTTTCTGGTTTTTGGTGACTTTTTTTTTTTAAAAAAAAATCCAGACAAGGCAGAGAACGAAGCAGAAATGTAGCACATACAGATTCCCCATCCCCTTGGGTTAGCTTAAAAGTGTCCAGGTTACATTAAACAGCATCCTTTACAGTCTCTTTCGTCCATCTTTGTTAAGCAATGCACGGGATGCGCAGGCAAATGAACATTGCCGGGGTGTCCCTGTGAATCCCACCAAGCTCGGTCTGACAACTTCTAGATAGAGCTCGTTCTCTTCCTGTTTTCCAGGATCATCTCTGCACAGGAGCCACCTGAAGGTTTCTCAGCTGTGAAGCAGATCTGGATTTTGTAACATGATGTTGTTGCCTCAACATTCCCCAAAAGAAAAGCGTAGACTCAGAAAGAAATCCGTGACAGTAGCTGTAAGCAACACGCAGATCAAAATAGCATTTATCACTTCTACTGCACGTGACATGTCAGCAGGTATTTTTTGTCTGTTAACACCATAAAACACAACTAAGAAGCAGAAGCAAGTTACAAAGACATATGCAACCCAAATCAGCTAACACAGGTAAATCAAGGGACAGATGCCAACTGCAAGATGGACAACCTAAGAATAATAAGATGTTTGCAACAGGTTTACTTTTTTCTGGATCATTACAGGTCAGAGTCACATCTTCACTGTGTAATAAAGGCTCATTTTGCATTAAGCGTCACTCCTCCTCAGAGTTAATGCCTTTAAGAACCATGGATAACCTCACTCCCAAATTAAATAAATACCACCACCACCACAACTTGTTTTGTGGCAACATACTATAACCCTGGCATTTTCCTCATCAATCGGAACATATCGCAGACAAACACTGTAAGCAACGAACTTGGAAAAAGGCACCCACCCCGTCACCCTCTGCATGGGTTGGTGGGCAGGACGTTCACACAAGCAAGGAATGACATTTTTGCAGAGTTCTTATGTTCTTTACCTTGTAGCAAACATTGCTCTCAGGGAAGAGAAGGTAGCAGCATCTTCTTTCAAAGCCTTCAGCTCATTTCGCAGCTTCATCATTGTCTCCGTAACCATAGCTTTCTCATTTTCATACTTGCTTTTTAAGTTGGCAAGGGCTACCTCTGCAGTCTGTTGTTTACCAAGAAGAACAGAAACATACTAGTTAATGAAACTCTTCACAAAGTGGCTGGCTAAGAGATTTCTAGTCACATAATGAAACATTTACTTTGTACTGGAATCTTCAACTTCTGGTCAGCTTTTCTTGTACAGATTAAATAAAATTTCATTTTTGAACACTGGAAGCAGATCAGACATTTAGGTGTCCCACTCCCATTAACCGCACAGCAGCATCCAGGAAGTTACAGAATATATATTTAGTGATACCTACCTCCAACTACTAAAAGAAATTAAAATTTCCCTACTTAACACAAAGAACAAAAACGTCTATTTAGTATCTTTATATTTAAATGCATTCATCAATTACTTGCACAGTTCTCTAACCCCTACAGCATTTTGCCTATCTGACATTTTGGAACACCTTTATTAAAATGTGCAAAAGAAAACTGAAAGTATGTATGTATTTCTTAAACAACACTATACTTTTTTTTTTTTAAGACAACTTCAATTTGCATTACTTTAACTTTAGAGGAGACAATGAAGCATGTCACATAGTGTCTTAATGGCAGCTGTTTTCACCTGTTGCACTGCTAATGTGTATCAAATTGCACGGCCCAATCCCCAAAGACCAATTTTACCTTTCGCCCCTGTTATTTTGACCACGTTCTTATATCACATCCTCATCTTGGAAGGCTTTCATTTATTTTGCAATTCGAGAGAGAAGAGTACGTAAGTTTAAGACCTTTAAGGGTAACTACTAGAATTCTTTCAAGTAGAAAATAAGATTTACCTTTTCATTTTAAGTGTCTTACATTAAACATAATCCGATATAATTCAGATGGGCAGTAGATTGAAGCTACCTTAAGCTTAATAAAAAGTCTCATGACAAAAGCAAAAGTCAGTTAAAGCCCCAGCACTCAGCTTTACAGCAGGAGAAGCTGTGTGCCTCTAACGAAAAAACCTGCTTCAGCCTTGCACCAAACAGCAGCCACAAAAGCCCCGCTGAGCTGAGGGTATGGCAGTATGACCTCCAAGCAAGTTCTCTTGTGTTTATGACCTAATTCCCTGACACTATAACCTTCATGTCTATAAGACCCGGTTACCTGTTTGTTGGCTTTCAGCACAGTTCTCAGAGTTGCTATCTGTTCTCTCTTGGTACTCAGCAGGGACTTCAACTTCAGGATTTCTTCCATGAGAGCTTCCTTGTCTTTGTCCACCACTGGCCCAAGCTCTTGAGTGGCAACGCGCTGCCTAGACAACTCAGTTGTTCTGTCCACAGCAGCCTGCAAGTGTTTGATCTGATCCCGGATTATAGCAATCAGGTTGTAAATGTTCATTGGTTCCTTCCGAGGATCTGACACGGGAGATGGCAGAGATGATACTGGAGATGGGCTGCTGTCACCACTTCCATTCTCTGCCTTTCCTAGCTCTATAGTTAACAGCCCTTTAGAAAGAAGAATGGGAGACCTTCTTCCCTTGGTCTCTGGACTACTGCGTCCACCTTTACCTTCCTTGTAGTAATCCAACATCACTCTGTTTGGAGTTTCGTTGTTGCACATGCAGACATGGTGGTATAAATTGGCCAGTTCTTCACTGAAGGTGACTAGCTCATCTTGAGCCACGCTGAGGCTGCCTTGTGTTTCTCCAGCAACATCACTGACTTTCTTCAGCTCCTTCTCCAGTCTGGCCACCTGTTCTCTATCGTGCCTGCTGGATTTTTCTAGTGAGGTGATCTTTTCAGTGAGAGCTTGGCTCTCAGTTTCATATCTAGTCTTCTCTTCCTCATACTTAGACTCACATTCTTTGTATTTGGCCTTAAGATTTTTAAGCTCTTCTTTTAGGTCAGTAATCTCTGCCACAGCCACTTTGTACTTGCACTCCAGGATCTCTGGCCCATTGATGTCAACTTCATAATAGTCTCCATCTTCATGGCTATCTCGGTCCTTCTCATTGTCAAGGGCAGACTGACGTTCCTTGCTGACCTGGAGCTTCTTCATTGCGTTCAAGTTTTCTGTGAGTCTGCCAACTTTCTCATGCTGCTCTGAGAGGGCCCCCCGTGTATTTTCCAGCTGCTTCTGAGATTCCTGTAGCGTTGTTAACAAGTTCACCTTTTCTCTTTCCATCTGAAATTCAAGAACAGAGACATCTATGTAAAGGAAACTGTATCACTTAAATGGTTTTATTATAAGAGACAGCAACTTAGCCAAGGTCCATATGGTTACAGAAATCCGATCACTTGCACATTATGGAAAAGACTAGCTTTAAATTAAATGAAATATCTCAAGCACAGTGTTCCTTGCCAATTCTTTCTCATCTCCACTCCAAAGTGGATTTTTAATTTATTTTTTTTTTAAACACACTTCTTCCATAGCTGATGGTCTCATTGTAAAAACATCCTTTCAGCTGAAGGTAACTAAAGTTTATTGTTGTCTTGCAAATTATCAAGTAAATATTAGAAAACATGCAGCTAGTCTATGGTGGAAGCCTGCAGCTCCATGAAAGACTCGGAAATACTGTGTCCTGGTTTCAGCTGAGATAAGAGTTATTTTTCTTTCTAGTAGCCACTATAGTACTGTGTTTTGGATTTAGTATGAGAATAATGTTGATAACACACTGATGCTTTAGTTGTTGCTGGGTAGCTGTAGTGTCTACACTAAGCCAAGGACTTTTCAGCTTCTCAGCCCTGCCAGGTGCACAAGATGCTGGGAGAGCACAGCCAGGACAGCTGACTCAGACCGGCCAAAGGGATATTCCATACCATATCACGCCATGCTCCATATAGAACGGGGGAAGCTAGCTGGGAGGTGGAATTGCTGCTTGGAAACAGACTGGGCATCGGATTGTTTTCTTTTCCTTTCGCATGTGGTAAGCCACTGCATTTGTGCATCACTTATATTATTGTTATTACTATTATTATTATTCTCTTCCTTTGTTATCCTATTAAACTGTCTTTATCTCAACCCACGAGGTTTTTTCCATTCTCCTCCCCATCTCCTTGGCAGGGGGAGAGGGGTGAGAGGCCAGATGGTGCTCAGTCACAGGCTGGGGTTAAACCTTGATGTACTGAAACTTTTAAAGTTTCTCCGCTGAAAAGTTCTCATTTTGAAAAAATCCAGCATTTTTTTCTACAATATTTTAGAACACATAAAAAAAATGCTTGACAAAAATAACTTCAAAACATTTCTACGCAACACAAATATGCACCTTGTTTCAAATTCTCCGACCTCCCAATACTACAAATACAACACAGAAATGCTTAGTACTGATTAAAACTTGATGTTCTTCAAACTAATTACAGAAAATAGTTATGGTTTATAGAACTCCTTTTCATAAGGATGACTGGAGTAGCTATCAATTTTTGAAGAAAATACAATCTTTCTTGCTAGTGACACAATGAAGTAGACACAGCATGTACTGCCCAGAAGATGCATTACAACTTTCCTCCAAACACAGGACATGACTGCTAGCTTCTCTGCATTAAAAAAATCTCTATGGTTTTCAGCTGACAAACATTTGACATCCTCAAATTCTAAATCAATCGGAGCCTTTACAAATATAGTACATACTGTATGGTGGCCACACGAGATATTGAAAAGACTGAAATTGCAGCCCAAATAAACTCTAGCAGCTATGTGGAAATACACAGCTGTTCAGGAAACCCATTTACCTGTACAAGCTGTTGTTTCAGCTTCTGGATTTCAGAAATGTTTAATTCACTCAGAAGATCTGAAACCAGACTTGGGGCTGGAGGGAAGCTTTCATTTTTCTTGGGTGTTGATGTACTATTCTTGCCATTGCTGAGTTTGCTGAGGCAGTTTTGTTCAAATCCATTCATGATTTCATCATTATTGGGCTCTGTGGCTTCATCGCTGAACTTCAGTCCATCCAAAGAGATGTTCAGGTGGCTGTTGTACATGGAGTCATTGATGTTCATGTAGTGAGAGAGCTCCTTACGAAGATTGTTCTTCTGCTCCCGCTCTGTCTTCAGTGTCTCTAAGGCCTCCTCAAGCTGGCGTTCGGAGATCTCCTTCAGCCGTATGGCATCTTCTAGCTGGCTGTTGAGAAATTCTGTTTCCTCTTCAAGCCTTTTGATTTCATGTTTCAGGCCTTCAAACTCCACCTGAAGATAGACAAATGGAGGGGAAAACCACACCCTAATGAAAATGCCTGCCTGCAAGATACCAATAATTTTACTTTTCAATGTTTGATTTCACTAAATACGGTGAGAATTTTTTTTTTAGTTCTGGAGTCTAGTTTTGGCACTATTGACTGTCAACACTGCTTACATAATTTACCTTCACAGAGACCATGGAATAAAACTTCTAAGCAAATCATCGAATGAGCTGATCTATTCCAGCTTAATTAAGACAGGCAGTAGATACAGCGTGTTATACAGAGGCATCACAAAACAAGCTTTCTTAGCACATTATGCAAACCATTTCTCTGTTTGATTAACAAATTCCCTGGCCAACCTTCCCACAAATTCAAGCTCAACATTTCCAAAACCCAGCATCGCAAAGCTATGCTTTGACACTCCGCTGCACTGCTGTTAGAATATGCCACCGGGCTTAAAACTGTTGGGACGCACCAGCTATCAAATTCTGCTTTTATACATTCAAAATATAATCTTTTATCATTTCTGTCATCATCATTTCAGCACATTTTGAGAGCGCTACAATTCAGACTCTCCACTTCAGACTCATATTGCTGCTACATGAAATTTGATGGCATGCTGTAAGTTTTTACCTGTAAAATTGCGGGTTTTTTTAAACCTCTCTTGCACTGAAATTATGAACACCAACCATTAGTGTAAAATTTTGAATCTCTTGGGGGGGTGGGGGGGGAAAGCCTAAAGAATACCTTTTGCTTACCTTGAAAGAAAGGAAAACATATCACATGATATATGACCCTATTTATTTTTGCCAACTCTAAGGGAATTTTAGATGCCAACATACACCAGTCTGGTAGTGCTGAACCACACCCAATTTAAAAACCAGGAACCGCTCATGTTAATTCAGTTTTGCAAGCTAAGCCTGGGAAAACTTGATGACTACTTCTAGTCATGTCAGTGGGATAACTAAAGCTTAATAAAATTCATCAAGTAGGATTAGGACAAGGTAGAAAATTAAATAATCCCTTACCACAAAAAGAATTAGCTCTTGGTTCTATATATGTCCACTGAGCTCAAATATTTAAGATTGCAGTATATTTTGAAAGGTTCCAGAATACAAACACAGTAGTCAATAATTACCAGCAACTGACAAGATAGCATCGGAGGTTCAGCCTGGCTCAGTCCAGAATGGCAGTATTTTTGAATATCGTTATTTTAGAATGTGAACATGGAGCTGGGAACTTTCACTTTCTCCTCTGAATACAATGTATGAGACAAAAAAAAGGTAAAAACCAAAAGTAGCCAACTACATAGGTTGGATTGTACCAGAGCACTCTCTCTTCCAGTCTGCATCTACAGCGTAGTAGCCCCTTCATCCCTATTGCATCATGCCACGGCACCCAAACCAGCATAATTAGACTGAATATATTCAGGTGAGAACAGGTCCAACCTGGAACCCCCTTTTGGGCACATCAGTGAGGGCAAAGTGATAAACATTGACATAGAGTTTCACGTGGAGATAAATGAAATGCATTCAATATCCCAAATACCTCTCTCGGTAGGGCACCTTTAATTCAGAACACTGGGGATCTGAGGCAAATCCTAATAAACTTTTGCTATGTGGTCACTACAACAGGTGGTATTAACCCAACTGTTTTCTTCAAGAGCTTTGTTTCAGGAATCTTATACCATTTTCTCAACTGAACCTTGAGTTTTATTTATACAATGAGACCGACATGTACCTGAAAAATAAAAATAGCAAGTCCCCAATTGATAGATGAAGATAAGCAAACTGTGCCAAAGACCGCATCTACTCTAATTACCTCAGCAAATGATAACTCAGGGAAATTCTTGAGTTGTTCCAAAAATGTAGTTTTCTAAGATTCTGAAAACAGCTGGAACTGTGCAATTAAACACAAATTTTCAGAAGAGCAGTCACACAGGTCTGACAGTATAGAGCTACTATAACAGTAGTCCTTTTTTAATGAAAGTAGCTAGAAGAGGAGTACAGAACTGGAGAGAGAATGTAAGCGCTACGTAGCAATAAACGCGTTCAGAAATACACCCAGTTGCACATACTGTAGAAGAGGGATGGATGGAGAGTATTGCAAAGAGACATTGAAAAAATAGCGTAGTAAAAAGACTAAACCATGTATCAAAGCAGACTGGTAGAGACTTCTATATGAGAGACAGAAGGCAATGGAAGGAGTTGGGAGGTCAAAGTAGTCATAAGACTTTATTGCTTCTATGTATAAACGGTCAGAAAGGACTTAAACATTTTGGGACAACTCTTGGTACTAAAAGATAGAGCTTATAGTCTCAAAAGTAGTACAAACATAGAAAAGAAGTGGTTGGATGTTCAAACAAGACAGAACCATGCCATAACACAAGAATTAACTGGTGCTACCAAAGCAATGCTCACTATTTTGAGAAACTTGCCTGATTTTGCTTCAGGACAGACACTTGTTTCTGGAGACAGATGTTTTCCTCTTCGAGCTCAGTGTAGTCTTGCAGCAAACGTGCTTCTCGGAATTTATACTCCTTAATATCATCTCGCAGACGGGCCCTCTGGATCTCCACATTCTGATTGACCTGGAAAAACAAACCCACCCCAAAAGGATGGTGACTTGATCAGCTACAGTTACATTTCAAAATGTTATCTTTCCTTATGTGCACTAATCAGTCAGATGCTATTCAAACAGAAACTTCCCCCCCCCCAGCCCCGAAATGAAGTTACAGAAAACCAAGTAATTCACACAACAGATTTTGTTTTCTCACTTCTCTTACAAATTCTTGCCCTTGACTCCAAAAAAAGTTAACGAGCAAGCACAGAAAGCAGCATTCACACCTATGTTGTCTCACTGGCTGTAACCAACAGACAAGAGATTTCCAGATGAGAAGCCAATGCCTGAATCTGTTAACACTTAAACAAGAAGGGCCTTTTCACAAGAGAAAGACGTTTTTGCACATGGTATTTGCTGCTGCTTTTCAACAGACCTTTCCTTTATGCCCTTTTCTTTATGCCCAGTGCAATAATTTGGAAATACGTTCTAATGAATCCTTTTGGAGAGAGATACTGAGTTAAAGCTCAAATGAAGTCCAAGATCCTCGGTAGAAAGAAATAGCAACTGTGGTTTGACTTAGAAAATGTTCCCTCCCCTCAGCCTCAAGACTTATGCAAGACCTTAAAGAGAGACTTTAAAAAAATAACAAAAAATACCATTATTTTTTCAGGATAGATAAGAAGTAAAAATCAATATATTGGAGTACTATGATCTTTAGATCTTTTGTGAATATACACAGGCACTTAAATAAATTGAGCTAGCACATATCCAGCTATGTGAATGGCTCACTGTGCTTAGCTCTATTATTTTCCAACATTATTTTCTTCAAGTCACACCTTTAGATACTTAATTAAAAGAAAGTGAAAAATATGTTCTAAAACATTAGCAGAAATATCTTTGGAGAAAGGCAAATATGCCATATGGTTGCCTAAAAAAATAGTATTCAGATATTTTAGCAGCTGTAATTATGAAGTGACAGGAGGGTTTTCCAAACAGTTCTAAATCATGAGCTCATGTTTGTTTTGAGCTGAAAGAGGCAGCCTATCAATTCAGGTAGTTCGGTTATGGCATCTTATTTCTGTTTTTATCTATCCAGCAGCCTAGCCAAGATGTGCTCTGGTATACAAACTCAGATTCCCTTAGTGTTCTCCACTGCTGCTTAGAAACAAGAATGTCAGCAATGACTAAAATATGGTCTCAGTCCTCTTGTGAGTGTGCAGCATACAACAGGTATCAACAGGCACCTACAAAAAGGTAAGAGATAAAGGAAGTATTTGCAGCAGGAGCATATGCCAGAACTTAAACCTGGCACATTCTGAACACAAACTCGGAATCGCCTGCAACTGCTAAGACCAATAAATTTAAATTATAGCTCCCTCGTATGTCAAGTAGAGATTACACTATATAAACTTGTCTGCTTATTTTTAGCAATGAAAAGAAGGGCACTACTTCCCAGCACACTGAGAAGCTAAAATAAATATTAATTTCTGAAAACAGACACTACGGTACAACAATGCAAATGAAAAGTTGCTACATCGCATATTCCACGCCTGAGCAAGTGTTGGCTCTGTCTTTGCACAAACCCAGGGCCACAAGGAAGGATGCAACGCCGGTAGCTGAAGGCTACAGGCTGACATGAATTCACATCTTAACTTCTTCTCTCTTAACAACTGCGATGAAGACCTCTGCCTTTGGCAGAAAGAGCCTCCAGCCAGATAATCCAAACTGTTTAACAGTTAGGATTGCAAAAGGCTCTTGCATTAAACTGAGTTTTATACAAATTAGGAGATCTTATCTGTAATTTTTCCCATTCCCCAGTAAGTGAAATGCAACAGAAGACCTCCCACAAAGCCACTGGCAAGCTTCTCCTCCCACCATTCAGGTTGCTTTACTCCTCTTCCTCTCTGGATGATCTAATCTTTGCAGAGGTCAATGCCTGGAGAAATCATTGGAGCTGGTCTAGCTGAACTAGAAAGAATGGTTTCTGTCCAATCCTGCCTGTTTAATTCAGAGCAACAGTAAGAGCTCATTATTTAATGTGAAAGTTTTTTTGTGCTCTCTCTAGCATGAGAAAAATCTTTCTATTTCAATGTGTACAGGAAGGCCAGATTTAAAAATAGCTCCCTTGTTTCCTGACCAGGGAAGGAAGATATAACCTAAATTTATTGGCTCTTTAACAAGCTGTACATTCAGTTTGCTCTTAGCATTTTCTCGTCAAATAAATGTGTGTGCTTGCAAGCTGCATGGTCAAATTGGGTGCCATGCTACGTCATCTAACTGAGCAAATGGAAGGACTTTTTTCTGCAGGCAAGAGAAGCTACTGCATCCTTCCTTGATCAGATTTTTCTATTGCCCATAAAGAAAGCAGTATTCCTGTATTTGAAGACAGACACACGTACATTGCACACGTTCTCTCAGGTGGCGTTTTACACCTCCTCGAGTGCATAGACAAAGTAAGATGATCTACGGATGAGGAGTTTGAATGTTTCTGTGACTCTTGTTGCTTCAGTGGCTTAGTGGCTTCTTCCCTGAGCAAGCCCCGAGCACAGGGGGGAAGGGGAGATGGAGCACCAGGGCATGCCTGGCTAGGCTCACAGCTATACCAACAGTCCCACCTCCACCCAACACGAATCACATAGCTCTTATAAAATATCATTACCACTGTGTGGAGAATTGATGGCCATCAAATCCCGTTGAGCATTCATGTACCTGACAAAACCCCTCAACTTCTCAACCTAGAGAATATTTTCGCTACGCAGAAGCCGCTCATCCACCCTGCCCAGGAAAAGACTGTGATATGAAAGTGATTTCGCCTCAATGGCCGTAGAGCACTCTGCTCTTGCTGCTAGAGAGCTTGTCTTCAGTGTTTTCATCCTTTCAGCTTTGCCTCAAAGAGTTCTGCGAGGCGCCCCTCCGAGCAGCACCAGTGCTAGAAATAGCAGGGATTTCCTCAGGACCAGTTTGAATCCGCCCTTGCCTGCATGTCAAAAACACAACCACTGCCCCTCATCGCTGCCAAAGAGCCTGTTCCTCGGCACCTACTTTTCTAGTACATCTCAGCATATAAAGTTATGTATAATTTGACTCTGAGAATTAAAAAATCGGAGAAAAAAAAAATCCCAGGCAGCTGGTTCCCTCCTTTGTTTTGGGCACTGCACAGCCTGACCGGAGCTCAGCCACCAGGTCCCCAGCCCGGGGCTGATCTTGCAAGCAAAGCTGTAGCACTAGCACAGTTTCTGTTACCTTGAACTCCACCAGCTCATGAGGCCACGGGTCAGTTTGAGTTCCCCACTGCAGTAAACATGCTCACACCTAATTTCACATGTCATTATCATCAGAGTCAAAACCTACTTTGCCCAAATCTATTACTAATTGTAGGATCAGATTTAATGCTTCATGCAATAAGTATTTCTAGGTATGATCATTCCCTCTTGTGTTCTTCATGGGAAGAATCCACAAAAAGAATGCAGACTCTTTGGAAGAAATACAGTGGAAAGGACAGCAGCTCGCATATATTCTGTTTCTGGAGGGAGAAGAAAACCATAGAATCATAGAATCATTTTGGTTGGAAAAGACCCTTACAATCATAAAGTCCAACCGTTAACCTAACACTACCAAGTCCACCAAAATATTACATAAAATATCATCTCTTAGACATTTTATTAAATACCAGCATAAGAATTGGGAAGATCAGTCCTGAGACGCTTAAGTAACTTAGTGCCTTCTTCAGCACTTTGTTGTTCTGAACGCTGCCTTCATACTCACAGCTGTCACTCCAACCTCAAAGCTACATCACCTACCCCAGGTACGGCCGGGCAAATTAAGAACTCACAATATGGACCATAAAGCTTTTCTATGCACAAAAAGAAAAATTCAAGGCAATCACTAGACATTAACACAATTAACAAGTTACATTATTTAGGCTACAAAGACCAGCAAGTTGTGTCCACAATTCACAGCTGCCCATCTGATTTTAATTGTGTTTCCTTTGCACATGTGAGGACTGGGGTCCTGAGGCAAAGTATGACATAACTGTGTAATTAAGGGCTGGGATATAAAATACTCCTAGAACAGAGCCAAGTTAAGGTTGCATAAGAAACCCAAAATAATCTTCCCCTAGTTCTCAAGTTACAGGCTCTTAAATAATTTTTTTGGTATTACAGATATAGAACAAAACACTAATGGTTGGCAGGGGAAAAAAAGATGAAAAGTTCCATTAGATCCAACTGTTCATTATATACGAACAGGAGGTTCGGAAACCTGTACTTTCACTACTGCAATAAAGATCATCCATGTCACAAGGCTGTTGGTAGCCCCTGGCAATGGGCAAACACTTTGGGGCTGCAGAGGCAGACCAGCAGCACCTCCTGGTGATGCCCTTCTTTGTCTTGTCTTCTTCAGATGCTGGAGCTACATGATCTTCTCAGTTTTAAAGTTTTGCACACTCTGTTCTTACGGTAGAAGAACCATAGAATAGTACAAAAACATTATTCATTTATTTATGCAAAGGAGAAATGTAGCCTGGCTCTGCTTCCTCATTCACAGGAGAAACTGCCTCCAGTCCCACCTGCACCTATGTTATCACATGTGCACATGTACTGCTGCAGCATAAGGTGCTCCTTTGTACGAGGAAAGATTTATAAAACACCTGTAGGTACCATGGCTCAGGCAACCTCAAGTTGGAACAAGAAGCAGTTTTATTTCCCATACAACCCCTGTATAAAATTCAGGCTATACCACAACAGACACACATATCCCACGCATTGAATGCCGGGAAATGAAAAGTCTGGTGGAGCCCGACAGCCAGACACAACTACACCTATAGCTGTTTTCTATATACATAAAAACATGTAACAACTACCACCCCAACCTTGCATTTCAGACATTTGTTCAGCCTTCAGCTATTCTCACTGACATATGACAGTCACAGAGTTACTCAAATGTGGCTATCAAAGCTTTTATACTTTGACTCAGTTTATGAGCCACAGACATCCCTTTCCAGCCCTACACAACAGAAATGGACCATCC